AGCCAAGGTTGAGAACCACTGATCTAGGGTTTGTGTGGGGGTGGGGGGGTGGGGGGTGTTGGAACGGGAGAAGTAATTTACGATGTTATTTAAGGTCATGGTCATGCAACTTTCTTATTTTTCATCTCTCTCCCACCTGCATATATTTAAATTTTGTATTTTGAGAGATTATAACGGTAGTTTACAATGCCTCCACTGTCCCCGAATGACCGGCCTATAATTAATTCACCGGTGAAGTTGCAGGTACCTACGGATTCGAAGCATTTGGGTTTATTTCTTTAATCTTTAATGGAGTCGTAAGTAAACGGGGCGACAGCCCCTTTCATCATGTGATCATGTTGTATCTTTCGAACAGTTTGGAAAGAAAGTCTTTCTTCTGGAAGCTGACGGAGTCCATAAAGCTTTCAAAATAAAAGGCATTTCGTCTGAGTTCTGTAGAAACATGCGCTATGGAAAAGAGCAAGGACCCTTTGTTCTCTCTCTCTCTCTCTCTCTCTCTCTCTAAAGAGAGAGATTCAGGATGTTCCAGGCAGCCCTCAAGAGCCCCCTTGGAATTTTGGCGGGCAAGCGCGGTGATTGCACTAAAGATTGAGATTTTGAGTGCTTTGCTGCAGGATTGGGTGTGAAAATATTGCCCCTCAAACAATTACAGTTAGAGTTACTCAGAAAACCCAGGGATCTCAGCAGAAACCCTTCTTTGGTTAGAGTCCTGTGCTTCCCCCCTTTTATACATGTATGGTGTCCTCACGCTGCTGAATTGTGTAAGTCACCTGGGGTGAAGTCAGAACCATAACAAGGAAGAGCTGAGAATCCATATTTATTCATTTACTTTTTTATTTCTCATGCATTTCAAGCATGTTGGTTGTGTTGGAGTGGCTGGCTCGGATGCTTGCTACCAATACCAAGCGGTAGACACACGAATCCCTTTTCAAGCATAGATTGATCAAAGCAATCAATCAATCATATTCCAAAGACTTTCCAGCAAAAAAAAATGGCAAAGAAAATGCAACCCCCCCCCCCCCATGTTGTTTGGCAAGGAACACCATTTCCTGATAGACACTGACATGTGAAGTTAACCTACAATTAGAAAAACATAGCAATCACGTGAGAGTAATCAACAAAAGGTTAACTTGATGCAATGGATGGACCATCTTCCAGAAATCCTGCAACTTATGTCTACGGGTTGTTGACGTAAGAAAAGGCCAAACCTACAGAGACATTTTATGAGTTTATTTGAACCAAACTGGTGACGACTGCGGGGAAGCAAGATCTCAAATGCTCCTCGGAGATCCTCATATTTAAACCAGCGTCTCAAGGATCAAGTACTAGTAAGTGTGGGCACCTGTGCCGGGTGATTCCCCTACTGAGGTGAAGATGGCCAGCACCACCCTTTTTTCTTTCTTTTTTTTTAATTAAAGGAGGCGAAACTCACCTGTGTCCATAGCTACATAAATAGCGTCTTAGCATTTGCTTCTGGCAGGAGAGGGCCTCAGATGGGTCCCGACTTTGCAGAAGTACCTGCGTGGCTGCCAGCAGGATTCTCACAAGGCTGGACAGAAACCCAGGGCACCAGACTCCGCGGAAGGAAGCAAAAGCCATGAGTATACGGCATTTCTGTTTACTCTGTGGTTGGATGTCGTAGGAAAAGCTCGAATCTGGGCCCGCGTTTCTGAAATTTTGAGAGTTGAGCGGTATGGTTATCTGCCTGGTCTGTTCCCAGCTAAGGTACCTGTAGCTTTGTAAGAAATGAATATGTATCGTGTTGAGGATGCGCTTAAAGCATATATGTGTGTACGCGCGCTGCATGCATGTTTCTGGGGGTGGGACTGCAGGACCCCGAAGGAGGGCTAGACCTCAGCAAGGCTGCCCTCTGCCTTGCCCACCGTGGAGGCCGAGGAGCTGAGTTGTCTTAAAGCAACTCAGTTGTAAGTGGGGAGACCAGTCCTTCAGATGCATTGTGTAGGCACCGTGTTTGTGTTGTAAGGTTAAGAACTACTAACTCACTCAGTAAGTTTAAAGCAGGTTTTGTTTGATAAGAGGCTCGATTTTATCACAGGCCAGAAACATTGCTCCCTTTTCCTAAGATCCTGACTGGCTTTGCTTGTTGTTCTGGTAACGAGGAGGGACCCAGGAGTGTGGTCAGGAATATATGATTTGTAGCAAAAAAAAAAAAAAAGTTCTCTTTTAAAATTTTTTTATTGATTTCAGATAGGAAGGGCGAGGGAGAGAAAGATAGAAGCATCAATGATGAGAAAGAATCATTGATTGTCTGCGCTCAGCCACTGAGCCACACCAGCCGGGCAACACAGCTCTCTTTCTTCCCCGCTGACCACTGGCTGGTATGGTGAGCTGAAGGCCATTAAGCAGAAATATCCAAGTGGGTTTTCATGAATGATTTTACTAGAACACCCCTCTCGGCCACAGTCCCCCAGTCTGTGCCTGGCACGTAAGAGATAGTCTGCAAATTAACAGGTTTAATTTTGTTTTTTTCTTGCTTTGTCAATCGTTAAAAACTGGTGAAGTGGCATTTTTTTTTATAAGAAAGTTCTCAACCACCTGGCCGGCGTGGATCAGTGGTCGAGCGTCGACCTATGAACC